TAGCAACATCAAAATTACCCAAGGAAATTCATTAAGTAAATGGTAGAAAATCCACTGCGTCGGAGTCCATTCTGACACCCGGGGCCCTGCAGGACAAGGTGGAACTGCCCCCTACGGTTCCCAAGGCAGGACTCTCATAGAAGCAGGCTGCCATCATGCTCTTCTGAGGAGCAGCTGCTGGAGTCATACTGCTGGCCTTTCCGTTAGCTGCCAAGTGCCCAACCAGTGCACCAGCAGGGCTCCATAAGTGGTGAAATTGGGGTTCTATTAAAAACCTTACTTTTTCAGTCTTATTGGTATGCTTAACCATTAGACATAAGGTCTCCTCATTCTGTCCATATTTGTCTAGAACACTAGCCTTCTATTTGTGAATGTACCATAATTTCTCAATCCATTCAATTGTGGTTGGACATCTGGGCTGTTTGCATGTTCTTACAATGGTGAATAATGCTGTTATGAGCATTGGTGTACAAATCTCAGTTTGTGCCTCAGTTCTCATATTCTCAGGGTATATTCTAAGTAGTTGAATAGCTGGGTCATATGGAATTTCTATGTTCAGTTTTTTGAGGAAGCGCCAAACTGCCTTCCAGAGTGGTTGCACCATTTTACAATCTGACCAACAATGTATAAGAGTTCCTTTCTCGCCACATCCTCTCCAACATCTATTACTTGCTGCCCTGTTAAACTTTTCCACTCTTAAGAGAACACTAGTCTTCTGGATGTTTGAAGCTCTGGGATATATGATGTTGCTGTTGTTAGGTGCCAGCGAGTTGAGCATGACTAATAGCCACCCAGTGAACAAAAGATCTGAACTCTGTCCTATCCTGCGCCATCCTCACACTCCCTAACACACAAGAGCCCATTGCAGCAGTCACCGTGTCAGTTTATCTGGATGAGGGTCTTCCTCTCCTTCACTGACCCTCCACCCTTCCCAGCATCATGTCCTTGTCCAGGGAACAGCGCCTTCTAGCAACATGTCCAAAGTATTCGAGATGAAGCCTCATCATTCTTGCCTACAAAGAGCACTGGCTGCAGCATCTCCAAGACATATCTGTTCATTCTCTTGGCCGTCCATGGGATGTTCAGTGCTCTTCTCAAACACCACAACTTACAGGGATTTATGAGAAGTACAAATAAAACACATGAGGCAATAGTTGCTGAATTGGGTAGTCCTATTGCTTGGAATTGCATTGGGAAAGTCTGCTGTCAGAGACCTCTCCAAAGTACTGAAGAGCAACGATATCAGTCTGGAGATTAAGGTGTGCCTGATCTAGGCCATAGTCTTTGCAATTACTTGCTATGCATCAGAGAGCTGGTCAGTGACTAGGGATGACAGATGGAGAGTTGATGCCTTTGAGCTGTAGTGCTGGAGAAGAGTTGATGAACGTACTCTGTGGACTGCTAGGAAAACAAACAAGTTCATCCTGGAGAGGGTAAAGCTAGGCTGCTCCTTGGAGGCAAGAATTCTGAAGCTTCGTCTGACATAATTTGGACTTGTTGCGAGGCGAGAACAGCCCTTGTAGAGGAAAGGAACATCATGCTTGGGAGAGTGGAGGGACAGCGAAGGAGAGGAAGACCCTGGATGAGATGGATTGATTTAGTAACTGGAATTCTGGGGGTAGGTGTGTCAGAGACAATGAGATTGGCAAGGGATAGAGCAGGGTTTAGGGCTATTGTCCATAGGGTTGCTATGAGTTGCAGGTGACTTGAAGGCACATAAAAACAACTGTTTGAAAATTCAGGGGGACATGGAGGCTTCTAAAATGGAAATACTGAGTATTGTCATTAGATTCAGAAGTTCTTTATAGGAAATGTTGGCTTTTAGAAATGGATGTCTTACCAGATGCTAACGTAAGAGTTGGTTTATCTTCTCTCCTCAGTGTTGGACCAAGTACGGACCTTTCTTCCGCAGATGGCCCAAGCAAATGAGAAGTTAAGAAAAGAAATGGCAGCTGCACCCCCAGGCCAGTTTGATATTGAAAACGTTGATGGGACTCTTGAAAAAATTATACAAATGGTAACTATAGTTTTATTTTATAAAGTGAAATTATTAGTATGCTCTATGACTTAAAAGTAAAGAAAAACAGGTTCTTAAATTCTAATTTCAGATGTTCTATTTCTCCTTGGGAAGTCAGCTCACATTCCTAATATCCTATCGGTACTTAATTAAGTCATTTTATGATCAAGGCCTTATAGGTCTGTAAGCTCCCAGGTATGATGTTTCAGGATGATTTAGTGGTAGAGAGACTTTTTTGAAGTCATTTATTTATTATTGTGTTGTTGTTAAGTGCTGTTGAGTCGTAGATGACTCATAGTGACCCTATGAACAAAAGACCTGAACAGTTGTATAACTTTCATAGTTTCTCAAAGTACCTAGGTTTTTCGGAGGCAAGCTGTTTCAGAAGTGGATGCCACTCCTGCTTCCAAGCTTGTTTTAACCGGTTAGCTCCACCACTGTCCACCATGAGTAACATCTGACACATCAGTGTCACAGTGTTTAGCTTCACAGCAACCACAAGTTAACCTCTGTACAGCAAATGGATAGACCAGAATAATTTTCAGTAGTTTGTAGAAAATTATAATATCACTAATAAATTACCACATTAGGGTAAAGTACTTCACATTTATCCTCATAATAGGTAAATGCAAAAAAAAACCACTTCAGCATATAGTACACAAAACACTCACACAGCATATTTTAAGTAGGTTTTTGTTTATCAATCTTTTTTCTTTTTAAACTCAAAAACATTAGGCTGTGAAATGGACTGTTTCAGCAATAAATAAATGTCAGCGCTGGAGTCCAAATGACTAGTGATGAGTTGTTAGTGTTTTATGAATACTTTGTCACAAATGGTAAGTGAAAAAGGATCACAGTTTCGAAAGCTTTAGCATCCTAAACCTTTTCCAAAACCAGTACTTCCACGATAACGTAGACATTAATTAAAATAGTAATAAAAATAATTATCAAATCAGTTAACTAAAGAAGCTGAAAACTTCCATTGTAAAGATTGTGTCAAATAAATCACTTACTATCAAATTTTAGGTCCGTGAAAGCAGTGACCCATAACTTAGTTACAGGCTTCCTGTCAGATCCTAGGTTTCAAAAAAGAATGTTGATGAGCTGATAACCTACCTTTACTCACAGAAACAAGGTAGCCTTCTATACCTCCATGAGTCGAGTCTTTAACTTTTAATTGTAAGAAATCATAACTTGCTACTGAAAATAAAATGATGGTTCCATTTATTTCACATTCGTTCTTAAAAAGGACTAAATGGTCAGATATGTACAAGCCTGGTTACTGAGTTATCTTGGGCTGATAGTGAAAGCAAAGAATCATTGTTCTCTAAGAGCTGCAATAGTTTGATAATGCAGTGAGTAACATAATGGAGCCTCTTGTTGAAATAATTTTGAAGCATTAATTTACTAAATGTCTTGGGTTTTGCTTTCGTTTCTTACCATTTCTAGAACTCAAGAGAGCTAATCATGGTCCAATTAATTAACTGTTCAAAGAGAAATGATGTGTTTAACAGACTGATGATGAGTTGTATCAGCCAAATGTGATAAGTTTTCCATTTATACTCCCATCTTGTTTGTACTTTGGAATACCTTTTGTTTTGTTTTGTTTTCTTCTTTGGAATTCCTTCTGTAACATGTCTGGACAAGGCTGCCACATTGTTAATATCTGATTTATCAGCAAATCTGGTCAGCTCTGCCTTCAGGATTTATCTTATGAAACCAATTTTTAGAACCTCCATCATTATGCACCCTGGTCCAAGTAATTATGGCCTCTCCTTTGGACAGTTGTTTTTCCCCATTGCATCTTTAGCACCTAGAATAGTGCCAGTAGGCCCATGTTAATACTTGTTAATCATTGTTGAATGAATGTTCATTTCCTGACATGTTGAAGGAACATAGAACTTAGGATGTGAGAGATTTTTTTACTAGTAAAAATTGTGTGTGTATGGTATGTATGAATAGTAAATATGAATTAAAATTTTGGATTGTGGAAATAGTGCCATATTGAATCTGACATTAAGCACTTGACATTAAAAAAGTTTCTTGCCCTTATGCTTCAGTATATATGAGGAATATTCATTGCTCCCAACTAAAGCCACAAATCCCCTGAAGTCTTATTTGTGCTAATAGTGAACTCTATGGGACAGAGTAGAACTGCAGCTGTAATCATTTTAGAAGCTCAGCTTTGTCCCCTGAAGCAGTTGGTGGGTTTGAACTTGCTGACCTTTGCATTAGCAGCCAAGCACATACCCATCAGGATTGTTTCATACTTGATTATCATTTTACCAGGGAGCTAACCTAAAATAAACACATTTCCCGCCTGGTGCTTTATGCAGGATGTCGCCTTGTTTGAGATGGACCCGTCTGACTCAAAGGAAGAGGACAGTTCAGAAGAGACTGAGGATAGCTCAGAGAACAGCTCGGAATCAGAGGATGAGGATGCCAGCCTTCCTCAGGAGGTCACCATAGACAATATCAAGCTTCCCAATTCAGAAGGTGGAAAAGGCAAGATCCAAGTTTTGGACAGTCCTCCAAGTAAAAAAATGAAACAGTAAATTGAAGGACCTGGGAAGAATCTCATGGCATCCGCCTGCCAATCCCTGTGAGAAAGAATGTGGTGGCCTGGATTTTGCCTTTCAAAGGTACCCACATGATTTTACGTAGGATTTGAATATGCTTTGTTTCTCAGAGACAAATACGCCAGCATCAAAGGAATTGGACCACACGTTAGACTGATCTTTGACCTTATGTTAAAGAGGTTTCGCCTTTGGAAAACTTCACTGTGTGTGCTGATGAGCGAGCTTGTTGGCTTCTTTCTTCAACATGGACTTTAGAGATACTATTTTGTATCATATCAATAGATAAATTACCTAAGGTTTTGGGTTTTTGTTTGTTGTTTTTTTTTTTTAAAAAAAAATACACTATTCTGTTGGATAAAACAAAGTTGTGTGTTTGATGTTACTAAAATGCCAAAGTTCAAGGAAGGAGAAATTTTGTTTAGAAGGTAAAAAGAACCTGTATTTTAGCTATCCTGGGGTATATCTGTTTTAAAACCATTGCTTTCCTGTTTGAACCTGGAGAAGTGGGGCTCTGTGATTTCATCATTGCCCACACTGCAGCCACTGAATCCACATAGGATTTGTTAGCTGGGAAGCCTGGGTTATTTGGCTTTGGTCTTTCTTTTTTTTTCCCCCGAAAGCAATGAGTGCTTGAAAAGTGTTCCTCACAGTTGCCTGGGAGAAACTTACCAAGTAGAGAAAATAAAGACAATGTCAGAAAAACGGGAGGAGACTAACCAAAGACAGATGGCAGGAGCCTTTCTCTTTCAGAAATCAAAAAATCCTCCCAGGCTGGAGTTTTTCTTCTCATTCTGATGTTCTTGAACGTTTGGGAGCTCATCTGCCAGCAGTCTGTCTTGCAGGAAATAAACGGAAGTGGTTAGGAACTGAAGTGGTTAGCGACTGCCGGCCCGCTGAGCTGACGCCTCTGGCCCCCTGATGCCTCAGGGTTCTCTTTGAATCCCGTTTTCTAATCCTCTAAGACATCATAAACACTCTGAAGATTATCCTCAAGGTCCTCTCAGGTCTTTCTCATCGGAAATTGGAAGCGAACACATTCTACTAACTTTCCTTCCTGTGCCTCAGCCCTTTCAAAATGGAATTATTTCCTGCTTTGAATTTTT